CTCGTGACATCAACGGTGACCTCGTTCCATCAGACGAAGAAGAAAAAAATAAAGATCGGAAAGATAGTGAAGACGACCCACTGTACATTCCGTCCGAAGAGTCGGCGGATGAACCCATTTCGGACACAGAAGAATCCTTAAAATGCGTGAGTAACACCATTCCTTTTCTACTTGAATAACAAATACTCCTATTATCTCGGCTTTCGTATGCTCACCTCTAATTTATCATTATTACTCTTTTCCCAATTACCAGAAAGTATTCAAAGTTCGCCGGGATAGTCGTTCTCGACATCGGTCAGCCTCTCGACAGGGTGACTTTTTGCCCTTAGAAACAGATGATGCGGATGGACAATCTAGTCCCAATGAAGACACCCATCCTGTGCATTCGTTGTGGATCCCTTCTGCAGAAACCGCTCAATCATGGAAATTGCGATTAAGCTCAATGAATTCGAAAATCACCTTCGAAAACGGGTACATGTTTATCTATGACTTTGGTCCAGCTGATCGACAGGCGTTTGCTAGTGCTGTCATGCGGTACGTCTACTGTGGGTTGCCGAACATAACAGTGTCATTCCTTTGTTTCGTTGCCGGTTTTCGGAGTTTCTTTTTTACTTCTTTTTATACTTGATGTGAAACCGTAAAAGATAGTGTGGGTGAAAAACATTAGGTCCAACTTATTGTTGCTGTATTCAACGGTTGAAAAATTGTACTCTGATGGAAAGGCAGCGAGTACGAGTGTCCCACACTTGGCATTTCGAGGGAAAACGGGGATTAAAACAGTGACGTACGAAATCTGTTTGCTGGCATTTGATAACGATGGCTAACTGCCTGAGAACGAAATGAGCGAATAAAATGTACAGGAAGCCGAACTACCGAAGCTGGTTTCAAAGAACAAAAACAAAATAGCAACGACAGAGAAGAGACATGCAAGGGAACTACCCGCCGATGGGTTAGCGACTGTAGATTGGAAATTCGGGAACGATGATCAATCAGTCGGATGGTTTTCCGTTGAACACGGTCAATAAGGGAAAGCCAGTTTGATGCAACACGGTTATCGTGGACGCAAGAAAGATCGGAGTCCCGTGACACATTAGCTTCATGATCGATTCTGATTTTGGTGTGGCGAGAAGTGCTGTGGGAAGGAGGATGGCCTGCTTACTGAATAAACTCGATATTGGCGATTTGGGAACCGGCTGGAACTGGAACATGGGCACTTTCGACAGTAGACGTTTTTGTAAAACTCTGTAAAACAGTTTTGGTATATCAAGCGAGAACGATTTTGCACCCAACCAGAGTTGTAAGGTGAGAGCTATCAGGTTACAGATAAAACGACGCGGTAGGAAACCATACGGGTTATCTCGCAATAACCCTTCAAGTTCCAAGAACGTGTCGTAGAGAGTTTTCGCGGTCACTTTGAAGCTTTCGTTTTAGGTAAACAAATGGATTCTGATTATAAAATGCAGTTTTGTTAAAACGAACTCGGCCCGTTGCAACGGTGAAGTTTACATACTGGAGGTTACTGCCATCAGGATCTTTCCGCAGGATTGCCTAGTATTGCAGACGATTTTTTGTAGTTCAGCCTATTGCTATCACGATGAGCTCTGCATTGTAAGGAAGAGGTTCTACCGACAGTCAAAAGTATCTCTTTTCATTTTCGATTTTTATCATCAGAATTGGCCAGGTGTGAGTGTTTTGGTATCCAAACACCTGAATTATCTTCTAATGTTACAAGCTTGCGCGTAAAATCAAACTGGTTGTCGTTATCGTAAAAATGAACTTTTCTGTTGATCTACCTTCACACTATTTAAATAAGACAGTTCTCCATCCTGATCGTTATTATTATCATCAATATTAATTTCGATGGCAATACTTTTACGACCTCCTTCGTTCTTCACTTCCAATGTTTTGATCGTCTTTACCGACTAGAGTTAGCAATAGTAAATATAGCTATGACCAGAAATGTTGTGATCGGCCACATCCACATCAAAAGTAATCCCTTTCCGTAATCTGAAAATACCGAATGACGTTTGTTCCTTCCACCTCTAGGTGATCACTCTTCTTTAAATGAGCTTTTTCCTCCAGTTATGCTGAGCTTTCCTCCTTGTTCTCACATGTTTCAAGGCATTCAGCTGTTGTGCAACAACACCATCCTTATTTCTGTACTGAGCATCACATGGGTGCGTTGCTCTAAGTGCCTATTTGGTGCTCTGCTACCTTGTGCGCTAGGACGCTGAAAGCGTGGTGNAGCGTGGTGTACAAAAATGTGTCTCTGTTCCACTTTTCATCCTAATCCGAGATTTCGGATGAGGGCACGATAAATTGACAGATTCGTGGTATTCTCTTTTTTGTGGTAGATACTATTAAATAGCTTTCGATGTTTTTCCGTTTATCTGGGTTCGATCATTCGGAAATCAACGAATAGTTACTTGATTACGTGCAAATTGTGCACAGGATGATCCGTCTCATTTTCTCATTTTTCCTCTGGACCGGGCGACCGAGTAGTACAACAGCTCACAACGCCAACAGTGATGGATTCTTCGACTTTCATGTGCATTCAGTCTACGATTTCCGCACCTAATGATAAACACTCTACACCGAACACACACTCATGCCCCAGAAACCTTCCCCATTCTCACATTCACCCTCTTAACCCATCCCCTCTCTCGAATTCTTCAGGCGATTGTGCTAACAGTGCTAACAGACGGAATTTCTGCCGCTGCTCTCTCGTGTCCTTTTTCGACAGCCGTCCAAATCTCACCGCATCCTTCACCAGCTGAAGCCCTTCTTCGCCCTCGATGCCCATTCAAACTAACCGCATTTAATGTGCGTACTCTGATGCGTATACGACAACAGACCGATTTAGCTCGTACGCTCGAGACCCTAGCCATGGATATGTGTTGTATCCAGAGGACTCGCATTCAAGACTTCAGCTCCATTATCCGATTGACGTCGCCATCGAACCCATCAGTGAAGTTTTACTTACGCCTCTCTGGTGACCCTGAGGCTGCGGCCTCCGGTCTTGCTGGCGTTAGTATGGCTCTCAGTGAGAGAGCTGAAGCCGTCCTCCTGGGCTGGTTTCCAGTCGACAGTAGGTTTTGCGCAGTGAGACTTAGAGGTGCGTGCAAAGTAAGCAGCCGTCGCCGCGATAGACGAGACCTGCTTGTCGTGTCGGCGTTCGCCCCAACGGACTGCAGCCCAGATGCAGACAAAGATTAATTTTATCATAACCTACACGACCTCTTGTGTAAAGCGAGCCGGGCTGATATCGTGGTTTCAGCAGGAGATATGAATGCTAGAGTAGGTCGGCTGACTTGGAGTGAGGCACATCCGGCAGGTCCTTTCGGACTAGATTCCTGTCGTTCGGAAAACGGGGAACGGCTGTTGGCTCTCTGTTCCGACCACCGCCGGTTCCTCGCCAATACGAAATTCCGACGCTCCAACTGCCGGTACGCCACTTGACGTCCACCCTCCTCGAGCTAGAGGCGGACGCAAATCGAACACATCGCGATAAGCCGCAAATGATGGGGTTGTATACAAGACTGTATATCGTACTGGAGCACTCCCCTCGAATCCGACCACGCGTTAGTTTGCGCCAAGCTGTTCATGTGCTTCAGTGGGTGTTCCAAACGTACCACACAACGACGGTTAGACTGTGATAAGTTGTCTCAACCAGCGCGCCTAACTGACTTTCAGAACGCGCTAGCTGAAAAGCTAGAACCAACCCCACCCGGTCACGTTAACCAGCTTATCAAGAATGCTCTGCATTCTGCTGGCTTAGTTGTGGTCTGACACCGTGCCGCAACACTCAGGATTTCTGCGGAATCTATGCACCTTCTCAACGCACGCCGATCTTTTCCAACCGGCAGCGAGCATCACATAACATGACTTGTAATGAGACGTGGACTTAACGTAAGCCTCCGCAAAGATAGCGAGATCTGGTGGTCTCGCCGCCCATCGGTGATGGAACGTGCCGCCGCCATGGGAAATTCCCCATAAGCTGTTCCATCTCATCCAAGTCACCGGTAGGAAAGCCTTGGGCGTGAGCGAAACGATCTGTGACGCTGACGGCTCGCTTATTCACAATCAACAGCGACGTCTTGAACGCTGAGCGGAGCACTTCAAAGCACGCGCGATGTCTGCGCCAATCATAGGAGTATAAGCCTTGTCCCAATAGCGTCAAACCTCTTATAGTCCGTCATTCTCCGCCGATTGCACACTACGCGTGAGTAGCAGGCTGGGTTTTGCGCCGGTCGTGGATGCATCGATCAAATCTTCACCCTCCGACAGCTGCTAGGGCACCGCTATGCTTATCAAAGACCGACGATCATTGTATTCTTAGACATCCGCGTGTAGTCGAACTCCTCCTTGGGAACAGAGTCCTTGACTTAGAATATGCCGATGTCATCACCTTGCTGGGTGAGAACACAGGCTGTCCAAGATTCTTTAAACCGCTTGGCGATCTA